ACCCCAAAACCCCAAAACCCCAAAACCCCAAAACCCCAATCTGTATTTAAAATATAGGCTAATACTAATCATTAATAAATAAATCAAAGAAATTATCAATACAATGGAAAATCAATACTTTTTCAAAGCCGAAGAAAGCCCAGAAATCTTCACTTTCCAGGAAGACAGTGTCTTTCTGGGTAGAAAAGACTCGATTAACATCGATTTTTCGAGCCAGTTTAAGATTCAGCCAGAGGAGCCAAACTTCCACAGCTTCCCTCAGGTTCCTATTCAGTCTCTAGAAGTGCCCCAGGAGGTGAAAGATCAAGCTTGGATGACTCAGAAGGCTCCAGCCGAAATGGCTACTCCTATTGACATTTACGAAGAGACTAAGGAACAGAGTGTAGTTCCAGACAAAAATGACATTTCTTCTCAGGAATCACCAGCAAAGAAATCTAAGAAAGGAAAAACTACAGATTTTGCCTATCTCCTCGAAAGAAAATCTTTCAGGATGATGAGGAAGTACTACAAGGAGAAATTTGAGTTCGACATTGAGGATCCTGACTATAAGAAGAAGTTACCAAAGATGTCAGCTGAAGAAATCAACACTTTGGTATCAGGATTCATGCAAAAGGAATTAGGGCAAATCCTTCTCTGCCTTCTTACCGAGAGTGATTATAACAGGATCAGAGATGCACTTAAGACCATAATCTTCTGTGATAGACATAAGAAGAAGGAAGATATTTCTGAAGGACTTGATTTTGTTCCTCTCAGAAACGTATTGCACAAGTATAATACAAGAAATTTAATCGAGTTCCTTTCTGATGCATCCAATTCCTTCCTCTATACACATTTCTTCCTCAAGGACGGGAAGAAGTCTGCTAATGAGCAGTCAGATAACGATGCTGGAAAGTTACTTTCGAGAATGAGACATCTGATGAAAGAATCTTTAAATTATCTGCCATCAGAAATCAATGAGATTTTTGAGAGTATCTATGCCTCAATTTTCGAATAATCATATTTAATTGACCTAATGATATAATAATTTTAACCATACTTACTTGTTGGGTAGGACTCTTCCAAGTGTTTAGTACCCCTCTGGCCAATTCCTGAGCTACTTTTGGGACGATCTGACAAAAAGGTAGAAATTCTACCCCTTTCTGACGAAAAAATCTAATTATTTTGCCATTTTGTGCTCTCAATGCCTTTCTGACGAGATGGGGTTTTGGGGTTTTGGGGTTTTGGGGTTTTGGGGTTTTGGGG